CACACACACACACACACACACAGAGACACAGAGAGAGAGAGAGAGAGAGAGAGAGAGAGAGAGAGAGAGAGAGAGAGAGAGAGAGAGAGAGAGAGTGGAAGAAGGGGAGAAACACTCAGCTTCAAAGTTCTCCGAGGACGTCCAAGGCGGCGGCAGGTCGGCAGGTCGCAGTACCAGAAGAATGAACTCCACGGTGAATTGAAGCAGTGGACACAACGTGGAGTGGAGCCCTGTTTTTTTGCACGGCACAGCCACCACGGGAAACGGGACCGGCCTACCGGTAGGGGCATTCCGAAAAGTTGTGCCCCTCACTGACAGGGGCCTTTTCGAAAGTTCAGAGGCCCCAGGGGCAAATCAGGGTATAAACGCAAACTTCAGGGGCATTCGAAAAATTTCCCAGCATCTTTTGCTGAGGTGTGGACCCCCCCCCCCCCTAAATTATAGCATACCTCTTAACACCCCTTCGAGACCTTTGGAACCCCGCTTATACCCCGTGGACACCCTTCGGTGAGATATCACCAAGCTCAAAGATAAGGCCGGATTGGTGTCGCCCGGGTACCCCAGGCGGGTCACCGCCCGTGCAAGTTCGCCTGGGTTTCCCGCCCGGGCTACTCTGGTAACACATAGCACAAGACAACTCGTGCTGCCGGCTGATGCACGGCAGTATTTCACTTTCTTTTTTTTTTTTCTTTTTTTTTTTTCCGAACACTTTTCGGATGCTATCTTCACTGTTTTATCAACTCGTTATTATGGCCAGATTCAATGTACCCCCCGTGCAAACTTGCATCCAATGCACAAGAACTGTCAACAAGAAAGAGAGAGACAAAGAAAGAGGGAGAGATCTTTTGCCCGGATTCTTTGCACATCCACTTTCTAATGCGTATGGCGCCGGCTATGGCCGTTTCCGTACTGTTTCTTTTTGCAGCTTCGTAGTCTCTCTCTTTATTGCTGCAATGCATGCGCTTTGCGCACCGTTGGGGAGAAGGCAGCTTACCCTACTCTTGATGAAGATGATGTAACAGACTGAGTTTCCTTTTGGCTGAGGAGCTGTGGCCTTTTTTTTGGAAGGTAGATAAGGGTAGGTATTGGAAAGATGGGCTCATCCTTTTGTCAAACCTGACATTATATAGCTCACCAGCGGCAGGTGCTGTGCTTCACACCGGCTATTTGCTGAAAATTGAACTTGTCCATCAGATGTGTATGATAGTGTATCTGCTACGGCGG